TTAATAACAAAAGTAATAAAAAATAAAATTAAAATAAGTTTATAGCCACAATAATTAAAGCCCGTACACTACATCAGATTTTAATCAGATTGACTTTGTACACAAATGGTTTAAAAGCCAAACTGGTATATCCAAAATTAATAAGACATGAATGTCACAGTCCCCGTCATTTAATTATAAAATACTCATGTTAAAATAAAACATGGAACATCTGCAAACAGGTGAATTAATATGTACTCTATGTGGGTACAACTCATCATAAAGTGATTTCCCTTAATCTAGTATTGTACTGATAACTTCCATTGACCGATGTCCAAAATCACAAGTGCAACCAAACTATGTCTCATACATGTATACATGCTCAAGAAACTGCATTCATAAATCTGAGTAAACCTTGATGTATCTACAATAACAACTTGACTTCTTTGTTAATTCAGGTCTTTGTATATCACCAGAACCTGGGTTTGTTTCATTATCACCACTATAATTCCCCTCAAAATGTAGCCCTGACACCCCTCTACAGTTGTGAAAGTATCACTTTTTACCAAAAATGACAAAAATATTCATCAAAATTAGAGAATTGAAGATTACATCATAAAATGAACAAATCTGAGTTAGAACCACATGTAGTACCTATATATGTAGTATCAAAGCAATTGGACTTGCAGTTTTTAACAAGAAGTTGAAAATATCATTTTTACCAAAAATGACAAAAATATTCACCAACCAAAATTAGAGAATTGAAGATATCATCATGAAATGAACAAATCTAAGAGAGGTCTACCCAAGGTACATATACATCAAGTATCAAAGCATTCAGGCTTGTAGTTTTCAAGAAGAAGTTGAAAAAGTAAAACATTGACACAGACGACAACGGACAATCACTCATATGATAAGCTCCGCTCGACAGCAGAGCTAAAAACCTACTTAGGATTTTTAGATCTGGAAAAACAAATTATGTGCATATTTGGCTTATACATCAACGTGCCAAGTTTTATCGATATCTGCTGCAGAATTTCTTAGAAAATGTTAGAGATGACGGAAATCGGAAATAAGAAACTCTACTTCCCTTTTCAGACTGCGTGAAACGGGGACTAAAAATTAGTCCATAATAATTGTTAAGTTATTGCAACCACAAAAAAATACTCAAAGACACCAGCAGACATGTACCTTATATACCTTTCTTTCACTCAATAGAAAGATCAAACTGCTATAGACCCGTACAAACACTTACCCTTGTTTTTTAACATAGTCGAGATAGCCGATAAGGATCTCATGATAGACTGCAGTACGAAAGTGACTCGGTCGGAAGAAATGTACACTGTCTAAATAAGAAATGTAAACACGGCTGCAAATAAATAAAACAAGTAATTACATTATGAAAAATTGTAGTTGTATGCATTGTTTTATAGCACATATTGGGGACAGAATATATGTACAGTAAAACCTGTCAAAATCGGCCCCTGGATAAACTGACCTACCGTCAGAACCGACCGATTTATGTAGCCCCGAAATTTCTCCATAGACGCCTATGAAACAACCTGTGAACCACCACCACCGACCACTGTCTAATCTGAACATCGACAGCATTGATCGGTCCCAAGCCCAATATTCACACTGAATACATCAACTATCCAACCAGTTGCATCAAATCCGCTGTTTAGTAATCCGGCACATATTGGGGGACATATCTGCATGCAAGAGGGTATAATTTATGGCACATATTGAGGGCTGAATAACTTTTTGAGAGAAGGGGGTCAAATTCAGGGCAAAATCGAGAGCAGACTTTTTGTTTCTCTCTACTGAAAGAAATCAACAGGTATAGACTACAGTGTGAATGGCATTTTGGTATACTTTTTGAAGAAAAAAAACATTAATTCAGGTATAGCAAAAATATTTGCAGAGGAGGTATGGTTTTCATGGATTAAGTCTTGAATCACAAATGTATGTCAACCTGTATTCAACTGGGATGCAACACATTGAAAATCATCACATTCTCAATCAAAGA